CTAATATATACTAATGATATACTGTGACAAGCATTGCAATAGAGCAGAAAACAATAATATCAGTCATATGTAGTTTCCAGTTTACTGTCAGTAAATATTATGACTCAGCCTGTTGCCTGTGATTGATGTGTAGGATTAATATTTTAATATTAGTTCCCTGGATGCCCCACCAACACATTCATCCCCCTAAAATGGTGCTATAATTTACCACCTCTCTACTGGTGACAGTAGTTCTGCTCTGCATGGTTTATGTAAAATACCCTCTTTTATCACTCTGCAGTGTTGCTGATTTACGGCTTTGTAATTTTCTAAATTCAGAACAACGCCTCATCCATCTATCGTAAGTTTAGACTGCATTCGGATCCATTATACCTGAATCTATGTGTCCAACCTCTATAAAGCCCACTCAGCTGGCGTATGAGTCACACTGCTGATACCATCAGAGGCACTGCAAGCTGCACGAGAGGAAAACTGCAGAGCGTCTTGCATTTTACATGCATGGGAAGTCTGCACTTTCTGAAGAGTCTCAGCTACCTGTGATCCTTTTGGTTGGCTTGACAACATGGACTTGCCTCCGCAATGCCAATGCCCACCAGTTCTGTGTATCAAAGCATTTTTTGAACCCATATGCATTTTATCATGCACATTTTATTGTAAATATTTGTAAATTGTATGTAAAGAATATGACACTGTAAAGAAATCATCCCTGACTCTCGTCGGATGAACCGACAGGTGATCCCAACAGACATGGACACAATTCCTTCAGTCACTGTTCATGTGTTTGGTTGGAATCCCAGGGGACTTTTTTTGTACATCTGGATTACCTTCATGCATTTTTCAGTTGGTATCTTAAATCTGGTTTACACAGTGAGCACTTTAAATGCCTAGGGGTAATGGAATGTGCTATGAAACACATGTAAATGATGACCTCCATTTCATAATTCAAAATACGCATGGTCCCACGTGATGTTTAGCCAGCATGACGGCAAGCAACAAAACTATGAAGTGACTTCTCAACTCCTTTCCATTTTCTTTTCCTTTTTTTTTTTTTTGTACAATATTTTGCAAGTTTTTTTAATTATAGCTATTAGCTACTTCTATGTATGATATGTCCTTTAGCAATAGTCTTCCTAAGACATGGTATGCTGTGCTCACGCATCCCAAATGAAGGAAAATACGGCGTACATATACTAACATATATGTATAGATATATATACCTGCAAATATTCTCTAATAAATCTGCAAATTGATTTTCATAATAAAAACAATTAAAGCAAAAACTCAATAAGCTTTCTGTTTTCCCCTCCCCTCAAAACAGCTGAATGTAGTCCTATGTACTAAACCATGGCAACATCATGAGGAACACCACACTTTCAGCTGACCCAGGTGTGGATGCTCCAATACACAAATGATGGAATTTACAAAGCAGTAAGGCATAAAAGCACATTCAGTAATCTGCCTCACACAGGCAAGGGTTTTATGGGACAAAACAGACTGAATAGTCAATGTAAAGCTAAGGAATCCAAAATGTATAGACAGATTTTCTTTTTTCTCAACTGACAATTTTCATTTTATATGGGTTCCAAATGTCCAGTGCTTACAATGATATATACGAGAAATACATGAGAAACAAATAATGATTATATGAGAAAAACAATGCATATAATTAATAATAACAGCACACACATACTGTATATATAATGATTAGAAATTATAATTATATATTTTACACACACACACACACACACACACACAGCCTGAATGGAAGACGGACACATTATTTGTTTTATCCAGCTGTATTTACTCAGTGCAACTTATAACATCCAAGTGAAAGATATAACACCAACATGTCATAAAAAAAATCAAAAACCAGAATCACTAAGTTGGAAAAAGGATCACCCCCTTGTGTAAGTATTTTGTTGAACCACCTTTTTCTTTAATTACATGCAGCCTTTAGTCTGTTGGGATTTGTCTCTACTAAGGCTTCAGGCTGCAAAGCAACAACATGTGATTATTTTAAAGAGGGTTTATTCTTTTCTATACCCACTGTGTGTATACAGTATATATACCTATTCATTGCCATTACAGTGAAATTACTGAACCTACACATGAGAGCCTGAGAAAAATGCTCATTTTTGAAGAAAATATCAGATGGCACTTAGAGGATTTTGCATCTGAACTATATATATATAGATAGATAGATAGATAGATATAGATTACAATTTTAATTATATTATATTTTATATTATATAACAATATTTATAATTTATTTATATGTGTTATTATTTTTAATTATTACATATTTTAATTGTAACAATTACAAATATATAATTGACAATAATTTATAATATGTTGGTTTCCTTACTAATGTCATGGGATCACAATCAAATGGAGAATGTGAAGGGGAAAAACAAGAAACAAACATTTACAGTCCTGTAGGCTGTATGGTTACAAACCCTTGTAACCCAGTCTTGTATACTCTTTGGTACAAAGAAACCCTACAAATGTAAACTGAATTGGCAATTTTCTTTCCTATTCCTAAGATTTGAATTATCTAATGCCTTAGTATCTCATGTAGGCAAGTAAGGAGCGGAAACATGGCAAGTTGAATCGGAAGCTTCACTATAACGTTTTGAGAATCAAACCAGCAGCACAGAGCAAAAAATGGCTGCTGGGGAACCGGCATGAATCAACTCTCCTGTGATCCACTGCTTCATTCTCTTTTCTCTCTCTCTCTCTCTCTCTCTCTTTGCACCCCGCCTCCCAACAACTGCACCACCTCATTCCTTTCTCAGCAGTATTGCAGTTTCCCCACAGACTGTTAGATGGACCGCTGCTATGTGAGAGAGAGAGGAGAGCAGAGAGAACTGTGACTTCAAAGCATGAGAAAATGATATACAAAATACACTGCCTTCAGCTAAATTTCATGTTCCAGAGGACATAACGCGAATGCAGTAAAAGTATTTTCCATCCCCATTTATTATAAATACATCACACTGTAAAAATACAGCAACTGTGCTGTGCCAAGTCAAATGTTAGCACAAATCATTTGGGACCTTTGCGAATCCAAAGACACAGTGAGAATCCTGGGGCTCCTAAGGGAGGCTGTGAAGTGAGGCAGAAAGAAGAGACAAATCGTCCGCATAGTCCTTAGAGTGTCTCAAAGCAAACCAATAAAGGTAAATATCTTTAACATTTACAAGCACAAAACTCAGGGTAATACATTGGTCAGTTTTATATATTTCATAATTAAAAAGGCCTAAATTATAAAAAAAAATTTATATTTCAAATTTCAGATGGCTTAGTAAACAGGTACACACTCAAACCTAGTTTCTGCTTGTCTGTTTGAACAGTGAATATAAATCAAACTCCCACTGGATACTCTTTCAATATACTGTGCTTAAAAAGGTATTATGTTAGATTAACAGTCCACTATGCTATTAGCTGCCTCACTAAATAATAACTGTCTTTTTAACTGCCACAGGGTACAGTCTATACTCTTAAACAGTCCTGACTGCATTTTCAAAGCTTTGAAAGGCCTATTTCAGATGAGAACCGCAGGGCTTTATGATTAAGCCTGGCTCACTCTGATCTGGTGCCAAGTGCCAAATTTGCCTGGAGGTATCTACAGCCTATTACCTACAGCATCTAACACATACCTAAGGGCTTACTTACAGAAGCAGAACACATCCCACTGAAGCCTGTGTTTGCAGTCATGTACGCTACAATAATACAAATGGAATAGCACAGTGGAACTACATTGAGAGGAGTATTTTAAAAAGTCCACCCAAAATGAACATTTTATCATTATTTATTCACCCTCATGTTGTTATAAACCTGTATGACTTTCTTCTGTGGAACATAAAAGAAATCTCTTTTATACAACGTAAATCAATGGTAACCAGGGCTATGCTTTTGGGAAACGCAGCCCAGAACTGTTTGGTTACCAACATTCTTCAAAAATATCTTTTGGTAACACTTTATTTTAAGGTGTCCTTGTTACACATGTTACATGTACTTACTATTATAATAACAATTAATTATGTAATGCAAGCCTAAGCCAAACCCTAATCCTAACCCTAATCATATAGTAAGTACATGTTAATTTAATTAAAATTACTCAGTACTTAAATGTATAATTACACTGTAACAAGGACACCTTAAAATAAAGTGTAACCTACAATTTTTTTACATTCTGCAGTTTGGAAGGACATGAGGGTGATTAAAAGATGACAGAAGTTCCATTTTTGAGTAAACTATTCCTTTACTATATGCCACAAAGTGGTATCTTTTAAATCAGTGTTTTTATTTTTTTCATTTTATTTTTTAATGATCTATTTTTATGTTGTTACTAGCACTTAATTTATAATTTCTAGTAAGTAATTCAATAGTGCAATCCTCGATAATCTTTACAAGTAACAACAAAGATTACTAAATTGACTAATTACTAGTACTTATTCCAGCAACAATTGGGATAGATAGGCTACTAGTATCTAATTAAAAAGTACTTGTAAAGCTGGAATACATAACCTTAAGATTGTTACTAAAAAGGATTGGATTGCTAGCATTTAATAGCCTATTAAAAATACTACTAGTAAAAACAGATAGTAGTTAGTTAAAAGGAATACATTTTAACAATAACACTTGGAAAGAAAGTAAAGAAAAGCGGGGAAAAGGGAAATAACTAGTCGAAATAAATCAAATATCAAAGGAAATTATTAAACGACGTGCATATATTAATCGTTGTCAGCAAGTCAGCAAGCAGAGCATACAAAATTGGTTTCTGCTTTAAAAATCTGCTTTCATGTAACATAAAAATTTCGTTAACAAAATAAGATTAATGAAATATATTTTGTTTTTCTGTTGTCGCCCTTCTTCCTTAGTACTGGTTTGCAGATGTGTGGACGGTATGAACAGACATTGTGCATCAGCGCCCTCTTGGGTCAGCAGGCGTTACTGCACACTGCGGTGCAAGACAGGCTCGGGTTCGGTGCGGCCAAATGTGTTGGCTTATGAAGACTGGGTCGATAAACCGCTGCGTAAAGTGTGCTTCTTTGAGCGCTCGGACAGCTCAAAACCCGAAAAACCCCATAGAGCAGCGAAACAGTTCACCGACAGACGCAACCAAACCCGTTGGCTCCCGATGAGGGTGGAGAGGGCAGAGCTGGCGAAACTGATTGGTTTTCGATTTTAACGAAGAGCCGCCTTATTTGACTCAGAACAGACTCAGCTTTTTCCCAGGAGAGAAAAGCAAGTTTGTGTGCGAGAACGCTGTCACGGGTGGTGGGGGGACTGACTGGGTGGACACTGGTGCACGGAGGGGGTGGTGTTTGTTTGGTAGGGGGGGTAACAATCTGCGCGAACCTGGCCCTTTAAATTACCTCCACAATCACTGTAGACGAGGTGAGTATACAACAAGCTCGTATTTTCTTCCTTCCTTTTAGGTTTGTAATCAAGCATCCGTTTGCTTTGCCAAAACGCCTGTGTTTTTCAATGCGTTCGCGTTAGGCGCTCCACTCCACCGGTGTCACGAATCCGAAACCGCTTGAATTTTCCGAGCGTTGTCCTGTGGGGTGGGGAGTGGGCTTCTTATCAATCATATTTAGTATATTGTACATTTTATGTGTCTGCTTTGGAAAAAAAAAAATCAGGCCAAGCTTGGCATTTGGGTGTTTGCGTGAATCAAGCTTTGCTCTTTGGGTCAAACTAAAGCTTAACAGGCGAGAAGCAGCAGCTTTCCTGCGCCTCCTGTCAACACTTTTACGCCTTATATATTATCTTATTCTGTGGCTGATTTTTAAAGCGCCGGGTCATCATGGGCTTGTACTTTGTATACATCATTTGATGGAGCCTTCAGAGCTATAGGCAGGGAGGCGTACATAGTGTACCGTTTGTCAAAATGCCCGCATTGTCTTTCCATCAGTGTGAGCAAGGCCTACCAACAGCAACTGAGCTCTGGAGCAAAATCCTGTGCGTTATGGCAGATATGCAACTGACTGCACTTCTGCATCGTTTTGGGCTGATTTATTGTGACGATGTCAGGATAAAATATTGTCTGAATGCAGCAATACAGCTCTGTTCTTTGAAAAAGCTCAAAAACTAACGAGCAGCACCAATATCAGCTCCACAGGCCTGCTTTTCCTTACATTCATGCTGTAGTTTACTTATAGGCTTGTGCATAATTAATAGGCACGTACGTTTCCTTTCTATAGAACTTTTCTCCATAGATCTCGGTTCATAGTAGCTCTACAGAATATCCAGTGAACAACCCACTGGGGCAAAGGAACAGAAAACTAAGATGTTTAGATGAACAGGGGAAAAACCTTGAGAAGAACCAGACTTGACTGGGGGAGCACATCCTCCTTTGGCAAGACTATTACAGTAAATGTGGATATGCCAAATATCATGGGTATTACTAGTCAACATGTTTAGTCACATTTTAGATAATGTAAAGATAATCAATAATTTATATTATTTGAAGTCGTTTCTTTAAATGACTTGGGAGATGAAGCCAGTTGTCAGTGAAGCATCTGAAAAATTTTTTTTTTAAATAACATTTTTATATATAGACTTCATCATACCTGTTTGAGTTTGTTGCTTGTTGCACGTCTCCAGTGGTCTGTTGTATTATAATTTTGTTATGCATGCCAAGTTAATTTTTGTTGTCATAGTTCTCCTTTATAGGGAAATCTCAGAGTGGGTTTAAATAACTAGGTTCCTCCTGAACAGTAAGAGCAAGTACATTCAACAAATAAAGTATTTGATTTGCTCTGGTCAATGGAACGTACTACATTTGGAGAGCTGATGGATCTGCTCCTGTTTACCTATTATAGAAAGTGACCTCATGGTGAGCCATTATCACGGTTTTGGCAACATTACCATACTGAGCTACAGAATTCACAGTGTGCTAGTACACAGTGCACTGGGTTTGGTTAGATTTACTACAAAAGTCCTAACTGCTATGCCATGTCCTATTGATGTACCTAATGCTGTATACTGTATACTCACCTGACAAATGCTATTTCAGGTCTTTTATATGTCACATTGTCTAGTGCAGGTGCAAATACTACCTCCCTCTCCCCTGAATGTACAAAACATAACAATATAAAAGCACACAGACATATTGACTTAGTATTTATATTTTAGTAATTTAGCAGCGCATATTGATTATATATATTGTTGAATTACCAATTATACAAAGTATTTAAAATTATTTAGCTCAAACTAATCAGATGGCTTGAAGCTATCTGTATTGTTCCCATGTGAATGCTTCCAGGGACACGAATAGGCCTATAATTACATCTGGACCTGTGCACTAATTACAGAACAGACTCACTCAACTCACTTATTCCATAGAAAGCCTAATTAAAAAATAAATTTCTTTTACACAGTACATACATTTTCTGTATACAGTAACAGATGGTTGGCAAAATGCGGAAGGGGGCCACTTTGTTTTGCTTGGTTAGAATCATACTCGGGCTCCATTGAATGAGATGAGATTAATTATTCATAGGTTTAGATTTTGCCGCCTCACATCTCTCTCATTCTACCCTGGTTTGCCTGGTTGGAAATGTTTGTTTTGACAACATGAATAATGGTTATAGCTGTAACGCACATTATTTCACCATCTCGTGTACAACTTTGAAACCGTATCAAGAAAGTGCCGCCAGTTATGATTAGACTATAAATATGTTGGGTTGTTTTATTTTTAATGCAGTATTGCATTTTTATAGGATTGATTTATTGTGAAATGTTTCACTATTAATACAAAAGTCTATTAGACTAGTATATTTTTAGTGTGAAATGGGATTTTGTTTTTAAATCATGCTATAGTGCTGTAATAAAAGCCAATGATATTCAAACATTAAATGGTATTATTAGTTGCAAAGAGCAAGACTAAAGGTTTTGACAATTATGATTCAGTGTATGGAGTACCAATTCACAGTCAGTAACCCAAGTTAAAATAGGGTAGAATTTACAGTATGTGTACACTTGCTTGGTTAAAGCCTGTCTGAGCATATTTCCGTGTCATGATTAGAGAGAGATAAAAACAAAACCTCACAGATGGTGGTGGGGCAGATTAATTCTGCATAGCTACTAAAAGTAGATTAAGATTGCAATAATGCTAATTCTGACATAATATGTATTATATGAATTATGTTAGTGGCCTTGCATCAGAACACTGCCCCCTGGTGATCAATTTTTTTTTTTACTTTTTCTTTTTCTAATATATCACTGACTGAATGTTTATGGCCTATATTTTTTATGATATAATTATTATTTTTATTTATTCATTTATTTATGCTATGGTTCTCATATATATATATATATATATATATATATATATATTAGTTGTCAATAAAATATATTCATATTCATTTATATTTCTATAGCATATCATTAAACAATGTTTTGTTTGTGACATACTTTTTTGATATTTACTTTTTTTGGTTGGTTAAGTCACTTTTAAATTGAAATATACCTGTTATTGCAATACTATTATTCACAGATAAAACAATTTTATTATGCATTCAAATTATGCAGAGACCACTCAAATAGGTTAATAACACAATGCTTGAATGTTTACTTATGATAAATCATTTGTACCTTGTGTTTGTGTTTTCTAGACAAGCAAAGTTGCCTGCAGGTCCCTGAGCCAGCTTCAGTCTCCAGCCTCTCCGTCATCCAGGTAAGACAAAGTTACCAAATAAAAAGTTATACTGATCTGAATATGAATGCAGATGTTTATGTTTGTACTCCGTTGGCAGGGAATTTTATATCGAGGCCTATAGGTTATAACCACTTTTGACCATATGGGGGGTGTCAAAGTAACAATATTCCTCTGATTCATGCATATACTCTCTGCAGCCTGCAATGAGCTGTATCCATAGCAACCACCCAGGTCCACAGTTCAGTTTTGTTAATACAGATAGATGAGGCCTCCTTGTGGTTCAGTGCTGATATATAGACAGTTGATGTGTACATGTTTTTAAATTGCGTATTGCTTGTAATTGACATGTTGTTTGCACATTTGATAAAAGATAGGGATTTGGATCCTATGTTTGATTTGTCTAGAAATCAAACAAGGAAAGCAAAGCAAAAGTAATTTTGACAATTCTGTTTCGCTTGTATGAGGTGAATGATACTTCAAATGCATTATTTGTATGTAGAACTGAAAGTTTTTATTTGTAGTATCTCTATTTGTTACGGAAGTCCTAAGAGGCCGTGGATTATGATTATTTTTCTTTCTTGGTTTCTCGTGATCACAACTTAATTTTCTCGTGATTTCGACATATCAAAAGTTATTTTCTTATTATCAGGACTTAATTTTAAAATAAATTTGTGAAAATGAGAAAACAACTTCTGTTATGTCGAAAGCACGAGATAAATAAGAAAACAAGAAAGAAAAATATTAATAATCCATGGCCATATATATATATATATAATATATATATATACACACACACACACACACACACACACACAAACTGAGATATGAGTCTCCATGTGTTTACACTGTCTGGCGGACATTTTGAAAGCTGTCTAAAAACTTTCACCAAAAGAGGAGCCCTTTAAATGTGCATTTATTTTTAGATGTTTAAGCCTTTATTTTGGGTAAGTTTTAATACTTATTGTAAAAATTAAGAGATTTAATGTTTAGACTTTTGTATATTATAACCTGGAACTTGGATGTGGGAAATAATTACAGTTAGATCCAAAAGATAGTTTTAGCAACATTACATGAAATGTATTAAAAATGGTTGCTGCTTAAGCTCAGTGTGCTCTCTTTAAGCTCTTCCACATTGAACGTCTATGTAAATACTTCATAAACAGACTTTGAATATAAACTGATGGTTGTCACTTTAACTTCATCTTTATAAAATGGTTAATAACTTATTTTCACAGCTTTAAGATGACAAAACTCGAGACATAACTATAAAACCATGTCTGCATTTGTGATCGGAGAAATTACAAACAACAAGCGCTTGTTTCGCTTTCACAACGAAACACACACGCGTCTTCACGACATGGCGGCAGCAACAACACTAAAGCGAGAATAAAAGTTATGCCTTCTTTCTTTGCGTGAATATTTGGGCGGCGTTATGCAGATCTTCCTACACAGTGACGTAGACATGTGGGGGCGTGTTAGAACGAGCCGTTTTAGGTAGGCGTGGTTGACTCTTAACTTTTATAAAGAATATCTCTTTGGATTTGAGACTTTAGTCTTTGCAACTTTACAGATCTTCTTTATGCACCAAGAGCTTGTAACACTCCAAAGAGAAAGGAAAAATTTAAATCGCATCATATGACCCCTTTAAAACACCAGGCATCATACACTTATAGACTTTGTAAATAGTCACAAAGGAAAACTGGGCATCATACACTAAACGACTGAGGATCATACAATACCAGACTTTAAATTCCTTCCGATCACAACAAATTCACAGAAACGTGCGCGTTGTTGCTAGGAGACACGTTAAAACAATGTGTTTTAAAATCTGCTGAAAATATCAAACCTGTTTGGTCTCCTCCGACTGGATGGAATCATAGTCTGAACTTTTGTCATTTAAAATAAAATAAAATATTTTTGTGTGAGAGATTAATATTTTATTGTAACATAACAACTTGTACTGAAACCAATATCTTGTGCACTAAAAATGTCTCAATGTAGATTTTGGTGAGTTTGACAACACTAATACATACATACATACATGTGTATATATATATATATATATATAGAGTGCTGCTTGAAAGATTGTGAACCCTTTAGAATTTTCTATATTTCTGCATAAATATAAGCATCATCAGATTTTCACAAGTCTTGAGAGTAGACAAAGAGAACCCAATCAAACAAATGAGACAAATATATACATTGTCATTTATTTATTGAGAGAAATGATCCAGTGTTGCACATCTGTGAGTGGCAAAAGTATGTGAATCTTTGCTTTCAGTATCTTTTGTGATCCCCTTTTGCAGCAATAAATAACTGCAGCTAAACGTTTCTTGTAACTGCTGATCAGTCCTGCACAACGGCTTGTAGGAATTTTAGCCCATTCCTCAGTACAGAACCACTTCAGCTCTGTGATGTTAGTGGGTTTTTTCCTATGACCTGCTTGCTTCAGGTCCTTTCACAACATTTCAATTGGATTAAGTCTGGACTTTGACTCGGCCATTCCAAAACATTAACTTTGTTCTTCTTTAACCATTCTTTGGTAGAACGACTTGTGTGCTTGGGGTTGTTGTCTTGCTGCATGACCCACTTTCTCTTGAGATTCAGTTCTTGGACAGATGTCTTAACCTGGGTTCCTTTGCAACCTCGCGGACTATTACAACAAGTCTTGTTTTTAGAGTGATCTTTGTTGGTCGAGCCCTCCTGGGGAGGGTAACAGTGGTCTTGAATTTCCTCCATTTGTACACAATCTCTCGGACTGTGGATTTGTGGAGTCCAAACTCATTGGAGATGGCTTTGTAACCTTTTGTAACCTTTTCTAGCCTGATGAGCAACAGCAACTCTTTTTCTGAGATCCTCAGAGATCTCCTTTGTTCATGCTTTTATTCACTTCTACAAACATGATCAGACTTTGATAGATCTCTGTTCTCTAAATAAAACAGGGCAGGCAATGGTACCTGGTGTGATGGGTGTCTGAGGCTGGAATCGAACTCAGGTCTTCTAGTCAACTGAACTGCCTCTTTTACCACTGAGCTATGGTGGATGACAAATAACAGATGGACCCAAGGGCAGAAGAATAACATGCAGGCTTAGATGACTGAACAAAAAGTGCTTTACTGAGGAGTCCAAGTTCAAAAGTACAAC